GGGGCCCCCCCCCCCACAAACCGGCGCAAGAAGGTGTCACCTACGCTTGGGAGAAGCACAACACACTCTTCCAGCCTACTCCGGCCTTTTTTACCTTCCCTGGGCCTGCTGAGAAGTCTCAAAGCCAACCATTCCCAACCACCTATTTCTAGTTATGAATCTGAAAATACAGAGTGAGAATGTAAATATTTACGGTACCCTTCACTGCCCCGCAATTTAAAAAAGAAAACGCCTTGGGTTCTCAGGACGGAGGGCAAGCTGTCTGTGTCAAGGGCAAAACAGGACTTCACAGTCTAAACTAATTCAACTGTGCAGGATTGTCTGGGCCTGAATGATGCGAACTGAAAGCTATTATTAGCTCCAACGGTAATGTAATCAGCCACCATTTTAGTTAATGCATACATGTTCGGTAACATATATATTTTGTGTGATACACTGTAACATTTATATTTTGACATACTAAAAACATTTTCGGCTACAGCAAACTTTTACACAGATAAACATTTTAAAACTCTGGCATGCCAGGCCGCACGTGCAGATAGCAAGTTAATGCTCACTTACAAATATAGTAGCCCTGTTTAATGAGAAATCTGGCGAAGTTTGGTAAGAAGCATGAAATAAGTGGGATCACTTTAATAAAGGCCAGTTACTAAAGCAGAATAGGACTGCACGTTTTTTTTTTTGTTTTTTTTTTTTTTTTGATAACGCCACTTATATAACATGGCCCCGATCCCCTGAAGTAACTTAGAAATAACATCTCATGCTACCTTTCTGGAGCTTTTAAATGAGCAAAGACTGGATATTGATGAGTCCCTGTGCTCAAAGCCTAGAAAATTTCCACTTTGAGGTAAGAAAAACGATGAAGCTGGCATCTCAAGTTTTATCCCAAGATCAACAACATCCTCCTCAAAACAACATCAATTCAATGCCAAGAGAATCTCCTTTAAAGAATAAAGGAATCCTATCTTCACAACAGAAGCCATCTCGGTTCCATCGGGGCCACATTCTCTTCGACAACCCAGTTTCGACCCAGAAGGTCCGCAAGGACCTTGTGCAGCTCATGACCTTTCTGGGACCAAGTCTTTACTGGGCCACAAAGAAAAATCTCTCAGTCATTTCAAATTTAATGCGAATTCCGTGGGGCTACGCTTAGCTTCTTTCTGCAACATTAGTAGCCAGCTAAGAACAAATAAGATAAGAGAAATAACTGAGCTATTTTAAGAAAATAAATGGCTTAAGGGATTGACTGGAATCTGCTGTATCCTAATATGCAAATGCAGTTATTAAGTCACAAAAGTAGCCCTCACTGTCTGCTAGGTTAGGTGATCATCACATAAACTCAAGAGTAGTAAAGCTGGATTTTACTAATTAGGTTTTTCACCAGTAAAGAATGCCTCCCACCTCCCCCAACTCCTCTTTGGTCAGTTTTTACTGTATATTCCCCTTTTACTGACCTATATTGACCGCAGGGTACTGAAAGTGTTTGGGGTCTACAGGCAACACAACTCAAGTTACACATAGCAAAGCATCCCATGGACCATTCCAAGTGTCCCAATTACTCTACAGCCCCCAAAGGTCACGTGCTATTTAAAGAGAACCCTCAGGTGGTGGTTCTTGGGTGGCATCTGCACACCTCAAAGACAACCTTAACAGAACTGCTGAGCCGACCTTCAGGATAGGCAGGTTCTCCTGGTTAGCCTGAAACACGGCCCTGTTACAAAGCCCTGCAATTCTGGACAGAGCGAGCCAGGTGGCCGAGGTCTTGTCGAATGAGACACCTGGTGGAAGCAAAAAGAGAGGAAAATAATGCACTAGCTTTGTACTAAGGGCCCACAGAAATGTGAGGTGACACGTCTCACTTCCCAATGAACGAAACTAGTCAGGTTTTAGGCATCTTCCAACCATGTTTGTACTGACATGCAAACAAAACCCCCAAAGACAAAAAAAACCTAAACCATCTAAACCCCTGACTCTTTACCAAATGATAAAAAGCAAGCAAGCAGGTGAGGCTCAGGTGTGGGCCGGGCCCTGGTCTTACCACTCTGATTCTCCGTCGTGTCGGCCTCGTGGATCTGATTGTCGAACCACATGTGGGCCACCGTCATCCGGTTCTGGGTCAGAGTTCCGGTTTTGTCTGAGCAGATGGTGGACGTGGACCCCAAGGTCTCCACAGCCTCCAGGTTCTTCACTAAGCAGTTCTTCCTGGCCATGCGCTTGGCGGTCAGGGTCAGGCACACCTAAAGCGTTGGAGCCAGATTACTTCTAACTCGACCAGGCGGCCATTCCATACTAACCCTAACATGGGAGAAATTTGCCTAAAACTAAATCTCTCCAAGCTTCCTCCGAAGTTGGAGGAAATAATAATGGTAACATGTATATGGGGCTTCCCCCCCCCCCCCCCCCTCCAAAAAGCAGACTATTAAGAAAAGTGAAAATAGCCAGGATGTACCATAGTCTGTTTTCCCTACTTACCCCCAAGTTCTTCTCCTTTCTGTGCTACACTGTTCTGGATCATGTGATAAAATTCAAGGGAAAAAAAAGTATGCTTCTGGGTTACTATCTTCCGTATAAAAACATGCTGAGGTCTTCTCACTGTCTAACCCTACCAGGTGGCTCTGAAGAAAACCCACATACAAACACATGCAAAAAAAAACCTAAGTCGGCAGCCCCCGCAGTCCCTGAGGAAAGGGTAGCGGATGACTCTCACACTCAGGCAGGCCGTCAGAGTGAGCGAGCATCGCCTTCCCCAAGCCTCTTACCGTGACGGTGGCCAGCAAACCTTCTGGCACGTTGGCTACAATGATGCCGATGAGGAAGATGACAGCCTCAAGCCAGGTGTACTCAAGGATCAGAGAAAGGACGAAGAACGACACGCCCAGGAACACGGCCACACCCGTGATGATGTGGATAAAATGTTCAATTTCCGCAGCGATGGGAGTCTGGCCCCCTTCCAGCCCAGAAGCGAGCGTGGCGATTCTGCCCATCACGGTGCGATCCCCCGTGTACACGACAATGCCACGTGCAGTACCTTAAAAGGAGGAGGAGGGGGAATTGTACTAAATTTTACCAATGAAGCCGCAGAATCTGCACAATTACCTGGCAGGGTTTAAAAAAAAGAGACAGAAACACACATGTTTTTAAGGGCCAGCTCCTTGGTGGTACACGCCGTCTGTTTTAAACTATAGGGACTCTGGCAAAGGGATTTCTCTCCATTAGCAGGACAGCGGCTCCAAACCCCACGCTAGCTTAGCACTGCCAACAGAAGAGGCACGCAGAGGTGGAGGGAAGAGGGAAACAACAGCCCCGAGGCCTCCTGGGTCTTCCTGCCAGCAAGTCAATTGCTTCTGCTCTGTGCCTAACTGAAGTGGTCAGAAATGGGGCCAATAGGACGAAAAGAGAAATTGTGGCCGTGGGTTTTTTTTTGGTGGTGGTGATGAATGCCCAAAATAAATGCCACGCCGTGCTGAAGAGTGCTTGAAAACGGTCTACCTTCAACGCAGTTGGTTGAAAAAAAGGCAATGTTCCGTGTCTCCAGGGGGTTTTCATTGGTGAAATCCGGAGACCTGGTCTGCGGTTCTGATTCTCCAGTGAGTGAGGAGTTATCCACCTGCCCGTGAGAAAAGTAAGACGCGTCATGTGAGCAACACGAGCCTCATCCTGGGCTACTGGCCCACTCAACTCACTCTGTCCGGAATTTTGGAAGACTCTGTTTAAACCTACCTTGCAGCCGTTCGCAGAGATGATTCTGAGATCAGCAGGGATTCGATCCCCTCCCTTCACTTCCACCAGATCCCCAACGACCACTTCTTCTGCATTTATGCTCATTTTTTCACCATTTCGAATCACGAGGGCTTGCTTTTGGAAGGAGAATACAGTTTACACCATTCCATCAGATGAAAACGAATACCAGCAAGAAGGTAGTGTCAGAATTACAAAGTGATCTGTAATCCTAATTATCTGAATGTAGAGCAAAGATATCCATCTGTTTACTTATACAAGTTACAGAAGCTTGCTCAAGTTATCTATGAGGCAGTCTGCATGTTGCCATCGTGCTGTGTACATTCAGAGGGAAGACACTCACTTTTTGGGGTATAAGAAAAACAGATCTGGTTTTGGGTGTGGGGAGAAGGCATCCCCCTCTCTCTGATGGGGCCACTGAATATTTGGAAAACCTTAACTTCACACCAGCTCACATTCTTGGGGCTGTCAAGTCACCTGATGGGGAAGGACAAAGTGGCAGGTACCTGAGGAACCATGTTTTTGAAGGACTCCATGATCTTTGAGCTTTTAGCTTCTTGATAGTAGGAGAAACACCCAGTTATGATGACGACGGCGGACAGCACCACACCAAGATACAGCTGGGACAGAACAAACAAGTTAGGATGCATGGCTCTTAGTAAAGAATTGGGAACATTCAGTTAATTTTCGACTGAATAAAAACCAGACTTTTAACAGAGATCAAGGCTTCAGAAATGTTTATCTTCCGCGAGACGGTGGACAGGAGTGTCAGAAACGGAGTCACACTGACGCTTGGTCACTAGCTCGACAGACCTTGGGAAATATTCTACATGAATCAGTTTCTCCTGCTTTATTAAAGAAAGATATTTTCAAAACAACTTGTGACTTCTGAAGAATGGCTACCAAACATTTCTGGACGTGTGTAATGTTCCAATATTAAAAGCTGTGCTCTGCCACTCAGTAGCAGCCAAGACCTGAGCCAGGGCCTGAGCAGAGCTGCTTGTTCACAGAAACAACATGCAGGGCAGATGCCCAGCTTGGAAGAACATCTACACACAGGGCAGGAGATGGGAGAGAGAACTTGAAACGAAGAAGGAAGAACGGATGGGCCTTGAAGGCAATCGTTGCTGATGCTACTTTTCCCCAGTGTTTAAAACCATCAAGTAACCAGTGGTAACTGAAAATAAGTAGGTGGCAAAGACAGAGGATACTTTATGCACACCTAATAATCCAAATTAGAAACTACGGCACTCACATTATCATTTTGAGGTTCCTCTTCTGTAGCAGCTTGGATGCCATAGGCCAAGAAACAAAGAATTGCTCCAATCCACAGTAACATTGAGAACCCCCCGAACAGCTGCCGACAGAACTTGACCCATTCGGGGGTTGTGGGAGGGGGAGTGAGGGCGTTGGGACCATCTCGGGCCAGGATCTCAGCAGCTCGGGCAGTTGTTAAGCCCTGAGAAATAGAGGAACATAAATAAGACAAATTGCTTCAGGACTTACAAGCTAATACAGCCACCTGACAGCTGGGAAGCTGCAATAAAAGAGTTGAGGAGAAAACTAAATGTCCCAGGGCAATGTAGAAGCTGGAAAATTCTGATGATTCCCCGCCTAACCCCCGCCCACGTCCGCAATGGTTCAGGCAAACAACAGCCCAAGTTTCCTGAGGAACCTACAATACCCAAACTAAAATTCTTTTAAAATTGATCCACGGACAGACTGGAATCTGGTCCGGTCTCTTCCGAGTTTTAGATAAGGGATTCATGCCAAACTGCATTTTTACCAAAAAGGTATCAATCTTAACTAATCGATTCAGTTTTGCAAATTAAGAGCTTAAGAGTTTCCTATGTGTTGAATCTGTCAGGGAAGCGTGGAAAAAAAATCACTCCATTAATATCAAAGGAGGAAAAAAAAAATATCTGTCAGAATCCAACCTGTTATTGGGTTAACTTGCCAAGCTTCAGTATAAAACTTTATTCTTTGGACGGCAATTAAAATACTTGTCTGGGGCTTCCCCGGTGGCGCAGTGGTTGAGAGTCCACCTGCCGATGCAGGGGTCGCGGGTTTGTGCCCCGGTCCGGGAAGATCCCACATGCCGTGCAGCGGCTGGGCCCGTGAGCCATGGCCGCTGAGCCTGCACGTCCGGAGCCTGTGCTCCGCAACGGGAGAGGCCACAACAGTGAGAGGCCCGCGTAACGGGAAAAAAAAAAAAAAAAAAAACTTGTCTGGCAGGGAAGGGTTCACACATGTGCGTATCTGAGCTAACCCCCCCGGACACCTGTCAGTTGAAAAGTATTCACTGGAAGAAGCATCCACTGTACTGAGGCCCTGCTGTTTTCTAATGGGCCTTAAAACCAAGATGCAACGACAACAGACAAGAGACATGAGGCTCCCGGCCATGAGGGGAAAATGTGATTACTTTCATCATAGAATACCAACTCATAAAAAAGGCATAAAACACATTTTTGCCTGAAGTGTGTATATATATTTTGTTTTCATATTATTATTTTTTTTTTCTTTTTTTTTGCGGTACGCGGGCCTCTCACTGTCGTGGCCTCTCCCGTTGCGGAGCACAGGCTCCGGACGCGCAGGCTCAGCGGCCGTGGCTCACGGGCCCAGCCGCTCCGCGGCATGTGGGATCCTCCCGGACCGGAGCACGAACCCGTGTCCCCTGCATTGGCAGGCGGACTCTCAACCACTGCACCACCAGGGAAGCCCTCATATTATTTTTAATATTGGAGTTAACTAGGGAGTATAGGGAAAGGGATAAAGGACATCAAATGGTTCAAGGAAAACAAGGACTTATTTAGGACCCTCCCCTGCCTCAAGTTCGTGATGTGATCCCTGGACAGAATAACCACCACCACCACCAGCCATCTGAGCTGTCTCTACTTGTTGAGCACTGAGTCAATCCAGTGCTTCCAATTAATTGTTTAATTCTCACCACAACCCATTTTACAAGTAAGAAAACAGACCCACAGCATTTGAATAAGTAACTTAGGGTCCCAAAGAACATATTTTATAGGAATCTAATGAAAACTTCAGTGAGATAACCCATGTGATGTGCTCAGAGAGGAACTGCCTGCTGGGTCTTAGAGTCAGGCCTCCTCTCAGAGCTTAAGGCCCCCAGACTTCTCAGAACTTCTTGATAACTTATTGAAACAATAGCTACATATTAGCTGGCACTCTAGTCATTCCTCAGACTTTCTAGTGATTGTCTAGAAAATAAGAAACTCCACCCCTGCGCCTGACTGTTTACTTTTATATTGTTTGTGGCAAAGTTAATATCAAAATCCCCTCGATAACAAGGATACACAATACATACTTTATTTAAAGGTTTCTTTGAGCTGTTCAAAAAACAAGTTTCAAGTAAATGATAGAATAAACCAAAGGCTCTGACAAACAGCAATGAGCTAGCTGATAAAAGTGCAAAAATCTGAATCGTTCAAGATTCAACTAGTTGAAATAACTCAATTTAACAAAAGTAGAAGAGTAAAGAGAAGATCTGTAATCACAAGGTCAGGGGATGAGCATGGCTTTGCAGCTTTTCAGTTTCAAATCCTGGGACTCCCACCTATTGGCTGTCACCTGCTATAAGATGGGGAAAATAACATGCACTTCCAAAGTTTCAGGGGAAACAAAACAGTAAACAGCATATAAGAGCCCAGGCCCTGGGACTTCCCTGGTGGTGCAGTGGTTAAGACTTGGCCTTCCAATGCAGGGGGTATGGGTTTGAGCTCTGGTCAGAGAGCTAAGATCCTACATGCCTTGCAGCCAAAAAACCAAAACATAAAACAGAAGCAATGTTGTAACAAAAAAAACAAGGGCCCAAGCTTTGTGCACATCATGTAGCAGACACTCGCATAGATGGTGGCTGTCGTTGTTCTCCTTGAGTCCCTAAGGTTAGTTAGGCCTGTGATACGGGGGAAAACGGGATAGGGAAAATCAGGATTCTATACAACAAATTAGAACATACTCGGCTCAAGTCCGTTCCATATTTGCGATGAAGCTCATCAAGGCTAAGTTTATGGTCATCCTAAGGGAAAACAGAAGGAAAAGAATTAAACACTGTACCATTAAAAAAAGAAAAAAAGATTTAAAAAAGCATCAATATCATCACTCCTCACTATCATTAGGCTCAGAAGACAAGTTTTTCTTCAGTGCACAAGTTAGTATACTTTCACCATTGTTGCCCGATGGCTTGGCAACCATACGGCTACCTACTGAATAGTCTTCACTGGAGAATGGCCCAAGCTCTGTGATGGGAGCCCGACTGTCTGCCACCTATCGTCAGAGAAACCCAACAGTCTTAGAGACCTACGAGACCTCATCTACCTTCTCTGATGACCAGGCAGATTACAGACAGGTTGCATCTGTGGACGCCTCCGCAGCCTACAGAGGTTGGAAGTTCTCCGTGTTCAGTATGATGCAGAAACACAAAAGCAAAGGCCCACGATAATATCATCCACAGTCCCTCTGCGGACCTTTGGTTATGCCGGAGTGTTGAGTAACTTGTCCAACACTCTAACGGCTTTTATAATGAAAATTTTCCATAGCAACCTCTACAATTCAGTAAAATCTGTACAACTGCTGTAATCTCTTTACTTTGAAAACTAAGCAAGTCTCTGACTGAAGGATGACTGGGGGGAGGGGTACCGTAACACTCAAAGGAGGTTAAGATACAATTAATTTTAAAGACAAACAAAGAGCCACCTTCCTCCTAGTACTTTACCATAGAAACTTCTTTCTTCAGCTCATCCATATCCCTCTCTTTCTTGGTCTTCTTTTTGTCACCATGCTCTGAAACAGCTGCAGGTTCATATTTATCACGTCCAACCTACAGAGGAATGTGGGAAACGTGTGGTTGTGAATTCAGAACAGCATTTCGAAACTCAAGATTGTGGAGAAAGGATTTTCAGCAGTTTTAGGAGAGCCATCATTTTGAAGAGTCACTGGGCTAATATCCATGGAAATACATGTTCTAAGGCTGCATACTCAACAGCAGTCTAGGATTAATACTGCCATCATTAGCTCAGGTCAGGCCATCTGCACCCTAGGGCATTAAGACCAATGGGAAAGTCCTGTCAGGCCTCAGAATGGCCCTGCCAGTTGCTTCCATTTGGGGTAAATGGGGGGAGAGGGTTGTGCTGTCAACATTTCCATGCCATGGCCCTCCATCTTCCCCACTGAAAGAATGAAACTATCTTCACATCACTAACTTAAGAGTACAGTATAGTACTTATGCACTTGGATTCTGAATCAGACAGGTTCATACCCTGGGCTCCACCACTTAATAGCTGTGTGTCCTTGGGCAAGTCACTAATTTTGAAATTCTTCTGTTCTCTTCCCTAGAACGGAGCTAATGGCGCCTACCTCCTTAGAGGTTTGAGAGGATTAAATGATATATACACCTAAATGCGAATGACTTTTATTATGATGTTTAAATTCTTATCTTTGCAAAGAAGTCATTTCGGATCAACTTTAAATATCTTTAGGGTTTGCCTTAAGAGCACTGACCTTTTCATCTTATTAAAAAAAGTCAGCCCAAGGATCCTTCAAATTCTTCAAGTGAAAGACAAAAAAAGGGAGTCCCCACCCCAATCTGCAGCCTGAGAATAAAGCCCCCAAATGAAAAGTCCCTGGAAATGTTTTGACATAAGCAGGATGTAGGAAAAGCATGTGCATTATCACACAATTCGCAGGATCCACCTACGCCTCTTGAAAACTGGAACAATTTTTAGAGAAAACGTTGATCCCACAGTTTAAATTTAGATTGTTCCACTCCCCTACCTCCTGTTGAAAATACCTGAGCTTAGCTACACAAAGCCTGAACTTGGTGCTCCCAAGGCTAGTATTCCCTGAAGAGAAGACACCCCTCACTCCAGAGGCCCCCAGCCCACACACTGCCACTATCACCTAAGAAGGGCAAAGAAAGGCAATTATATAAGCAATTTTCTTACAGTGGATGCTATGCGGTGCTATTTCTATTCATTTGTGGCTCTCCCTTAATCATTTCTGATTTTCAAGAGTACCTCACCAGCTACTAAAGCAACAAGTAGAAACACTGTCTAGATTAAAATTGTACTGTGCTGATTATAAAATAAATTTAAAAAATCAAAGCATATAGGTGTCTTTCAGTCATAGCTGATATGGTTGCAAATAAAGACAATATTCACTTGAATTTGAAAATACCTTCTTAAGACTCTAAAGAGATCCTAGCCCCAGTTTAGTTAGTGTTGCCAAAACACAGAGACACGTACAGTATTCACATTGCTCAACTTGTGTGGTCACATTTACAGTGTTCCCTGCCCATTAACTTTTTCAGTGTTCTTTAGTTTCTGTATGTATCTTATCTGTTAAGAATGAAGCAAGTCTAAAGATAGTCAACATTCTCCACATTCTCTCCACTATGGAGCAACCACACATCATCTCTCTGGGACAGCCCTGGGGCCAGAGTTAAAATGGATCATCATCACACACACTGGAAGCAAACAGACAAACAAAACAAAGGACGAGGCTCCCACCAGAGAGGAACTAAAGTGGGACTTCCTTCATATATTTAATAAGGAAGCACAACACTGAAAAATCACGTTAAAGACATTGACTAGGGATCTCTAAAAGACTCACGTGGCCCGTTTGTATTGATTTCTTAAATCCAGTTCACAAATTCTCATTAAGCAAGCTGAGTATCATTAAAACATATCTAATTTCAATATATGAAAATCAAGTTAAAAGCCCTCTGCCTCACCATCTGTAGGCTTTGATTATTCTCCGACTTTCAATATTTTCCACTCCAAAAGAGGGGGAGAGAATTATTGGAGCAGCTAGACCTTGGACATGTTCCAGAGTTTTATCCCCATTTACAAAACAGATCTCCTGCCTGAAGCTTCTCAGTTATCAATGGTTAAGATAGCTGGAAATCAAGATTCCCTAATAACCCTCCCCATTCTTCATCCCTTCACGGCATATAAGGGGTGGTGGTTTAAAACAGGATATCTGTGAAAGAGACAGGGGAAGTGCTAACAAGTGATATTTCTTCTCCTTCAAGTTTTAATTGTTTCACTAGGCAACGTCCAGAAGACCAGGCAGCTTATGCAATTCAGTGCTTCCCTACAAGTAAAACAATAATACTAGCTTATCTTGATGGGAACCAAATATTACTCGAGTCCCTACCAATCTCAATTACTAGTTTCAAAGCAGAAAAAAAATCTGTGTGTGTGTTTGGGGTGGGTGCGGTGGTGCAGGGTAGGACAGGGAACAACCTAAAATTGGGTAGACAGCATTTTCTTTATTATTTCTTTTAAAAGCATTTGGGAAAAACAAAGGTCATGAAAAGGGGAATGATAATATGGTCTCCCGCATCTACTGCGATGACCTGCCCACTCCTCTGGGCACTGGGCACACAATTCCCACTGTTTCCATTAGGAAATGCAGGTCAGTTCTCCTTCCTCCACGGAAGACAGGCAGTGACGAGGCTCCCTGCGACAGCACCCTTGGGCACCGCTGTGCCGTCTCTGAGAAAGGGGAAGGGTACAATGGAGGCTCAAGGCCACTGTCATACCACCCCCACAACAGGGCCACTTGTGAACATTTGTTTTTCCTATTCTAATTTAGGAAGCGGGAGGTCACAACAAGGGCAGGGGCTTGCCCAGTGTGACACAGCCTAAAATAAAAAGTGTCATTACTTCGCCCTGTGCTTCCTGGGGATTTCATCCTCTCAACGGTAAGTTTTGCCACCAGTTGATCTGGGTAGAGGGAAAGGGTGCTCAGGAGATGGGGTGAGAAAATTCTTGACAGGAGGAGCCAAGGTTGAAACCTGGAGCAAGGTGCGCTTGTTTATTATTATTTTTTTTAGTTGTTTCAAACTAGTTTCTTTAGGGGTTCCATTCTCACTCCTCAATGGATTTTATGCATTTCTCATAGGCTTCTTCACTCATTAGTCCATCTAGTTCTGAAGGGTTACTGAGTGTCATCTTGATCAGCCAACCATCTTCATAACAAGATCTGTTGACAAGCCCTGGATTTTCTGCTAGAGCTTCATTAATTTCAGTTACTTCTCCTGATAGAGGAGGAGAGAGTTCACTAGCAGCTTTTTCACTTTCCAAAGCACCAAACTCCTCATTTGTTCAATTCTGTCCCAACTTAAGGGAGACTACAGTCAGTAAACATCTCCCAAAGCTTCCTGTGCAAAATTGCTGATTCCCACCATTCTCACACTATTTTCTGTCGTCATCCATTCACGTTTGTCTGTGACTTTACGCACAGAGTGGGGCTGGTGTGCAACGCTGGGAAGGTGCCCACCCTCAGCCCCCAGGGCTGAGGCCCCAACGTTCACTTTTTTAAAAACATAGACCAAATCCTTACGATGAGCAAGGCCTCTGCTAGGGATGGAGATGCTCCTTCCTCTTCTTCACTAATTAACAATTTAAAGGGGGTGGAGTGGGAAGCGGATATGACAGGTGCTGAGAAACATCCCAAAAATTTTTACAAAGGCACACAAAGAAGGTGCAATGAGTTTAGGAGACAAGCTTCCATCCTAGACGTGAGTGTGAGTCACTTGACGTCTGCGTAAGCTGAAGCTGCCCCGAGGCCTTCGGACCCATCTCAACTGGCCCCCATCAGGCCTTAGAGGCTTTCTCAACTGTGCAGTGTGATGTCTGGTTACAGCTCCCACCACATCAGCACAATGCCCTGTGGCCAGCCGGGAGGTCAGAGGTCTTCAGACTTCTGAAATTGCTGCTGATAAAGGCTGGAGGGTACTTGGAAGCAGAGATGTCCACACCCTTTGGACAGGACTATGGATGGTACTTTTAAGTCAGTCCCAAGTCATTCTAGCTCTGCCATGTGCCAGCTAGACGACCCTGAACAGTCAGCCTCAGTTTCCTCGTTGCCTAAAATGGGGATAACACTTGGTGTAACTACTAAAGACTCTAGAGGGGCATTCTGATAGTCAGATGAATCAAGGGGCTGCCATCAAATCCAAAAACAAAACACCTAAAAACAGCACTGTTTCCAAAACTGACAAAGCTTTGTACTATCAAGAGGGGCCAGAGGAGGGTAAAAGTAATTGCCCCAAATGCAGCGCATTTCAAAGCTGGCCAAGAGGGTTGTAGAAAGGATACCTCTGAACCCAATTTGGCAAATTCCACCTTAGCAGAAAGTTGGAGGGATGGTTTCCGATCCTCATTGGTTACCTAGAGGCATTGCCTAGTCTGGGCTACATCTTTCCTTTATGTAAAAAGGGGGGCGCGGGTAGGCTTTCCAGTCTCCCTAGGGTGATATATGATTAATCATTATCAAATACAAATGTGTATGTGAAGGTACTCTGCAAAGCACTACACAAAGGTTATTATAACTTGGTTTTAACAAACATGTAAATCACTGCCACTCGTCACTTACTATGAAAAGTCTTTATGAATTTTTTTTTAAAAAAACACCTAATTTGGGGCATTTTTTATTTCATCGTCAATTGAAACTTATAATATCTTTGAGACATGACCAATCGCAGTTCATCACACCTCCGATGGCTCCTAAATGATTAAGTAGTTTAGTTTATGTACAAGGGATTTTCCAGCCAGGGAGCTGAGGGTGGAAATGGCTGGGGCTGAAAGAGGATGGCACTGCACGGCTCTGCAGCCCAGAGCAGCGTTTAGGGCAGAGAAGGAAGAGGACGTGACCCGAGGGACACCTGGCCTTCACAGTCCTTCTCTCACTCACCTAAACCTGCCGCGAGGTGGGGAATATCAAGTAGCCAGGCCAAAGCAGTGGGTCTCTTTGTGAGCCCAGCTCAGTCCCTCCAAACTTGGGCTGCAGCCCATCAGCCAGCAGGGG